GCTATTCTTAGGTTAACTGTAACAGAATCATAAGATTCTGTAGGGATGTCTTGTAAAGCCGTGAGGAGACACGTATACACCAAAGAGTGATACCTCTGAGCTTATCACGTGCTATTCTTAGGTTAACTGTAACAGAATCATAAGATTCTGTAGGGATGTCTTGTAAAGCCGTGAGGAGACACGTATACACCAAAGAGTGATACCTCTGAGCTAATCACGGGCTATTCTTAGGTTAACTGTAACAGAATCATAAGATTCTGCAGGGATGTCTTGTAAAGCCGTGAGGAGACACGTATACACCAAAGAGTGATACCTCTGAGCTAATCACGTGCTATTCTTGAGAGAATTATAAGATTCTGTAGTGATGTCTTGTGAAAGCCGTGAGAAGACACGTATTCACCAAAGAGTGATACCTCTGAGCTAATCACGTGCTGAGTAACTAAGTTGAGGACAGGGGCCTCCTTAGTTGTGTTATGTAAGTTGAGGACAGGGGCCTCCTTACAGTGAGTAACTAAGTGGAGGACAGGGGCCTCCTTAGTTGTGTAATGTAAGTTGAGGACAGGGGCCTCCTTACAGTGAGTAATTAAGTGGAGGACAGGGGCCTCCTTAGTTGTGTAATGTAAGTGGAGGACAGGGGCCTCCTTGCAATGAGTAACTAAGTGGAGGACAGGGGCCTCCGTAATTGTGTGATTGCAGGGCAAAGTCGAGGGTACAAGAGCGCGCGGCAGGTCACCCATGCGCTGGACAGACCAAGTCAGGGCTGCAGTGGACGAGAGACGAGTGGCGACGTGTTGTGAAGCGTGCCACCACACATCATGATGACCACGACCGTTCTGCCAAGAACGTATCGACTTAGAAGAAGAACTAGGTCGAAGGCGACCATCATGCAGAATGGCCGTGTCGGCGCGAGAGCAAAAGGAACAGGTTTCAACAGGCGCGTACAGGCGTTTACAATCTCTTATCGCTCAACAAGTCAGGCGAGGTGGCGAACGACCTATATAAAGCGACGTGCTAGGCGGCCGGACACACTTCAACGTTAGCACTAGCTTCGTTCACATCTCTTAATTGTGATATTTGTCACTCCTGAATTGTTTCTAATTTAAATTGTTTTCTTGATTGTAAATTAGTCAAATTTATAATAATTTGTTGAAGTGTCTAAATTTCTTCAATATTAAATTTGTTAAAATTAATTATTCTCAAATTAATTGTCAATGGTCAAAATAGTTAAATTTGTCAATTACTAAATTGTTAATTTATGTTAAATTCGTGATTTTAATTTGTATTAATAAATGTTATATTGTGATTTATTATGATTATTATTTTTAACTATCACTTATGCCTGGGGACGAACGTCCATGTTTACCTATTTTACAGGGCCCTTTCTATCTCAGCCGATATGTAATACATATAAAATAATTAAAGTTTGATAACTTAAAAAAGATATAATATCATTTCTTTAAAAAGAAGAAGAATAAGTTACAATTTATTTGATTACTGTTTTAACTTAAATAAATCTTGTTGATCTTCAGCACTCATTTATAAACCATTTAACTTCCCAAAAACTTCACCTGTTGATTTGTTACTATTATACTGAAACACTTAGAAGTTTAGCACTTTCATCTTCACTGCCTTTTATTAAGAACAATTTAAACTCATTAATAAAGTTTCAGACAGAAACTTTTATTTTCTATAATCTCATTTAATAATTCACAAAACACTCCCAGGGGCAGAATTTTATAAAATAAAATGTAATTTCCTTTACATACTAACTTGTACGAAGAAAGAGGACAAGTCTTTCCGCTTGACGGAAACTAACAGCTCAGATATATTCGTTACCTGTACGTGTCATAGAAAAATGGGATCATGTGAAATATTTTAAATTTTAAATATATGCTTTACCTGTCACAAAGAGTGATCACTACGCGTGATAGGTCATTTAGAAGTTTTATGCAAGCAAGCATGGAGGATATTACGTCTCGTTTATAAACAAAATATCTCAAAAAACAACAATGAAATATCCACTATAATCTCAGAAACATTTTGATGTTAGTATTAAAGTTAAATACACAGTGTTATGAATAATATGTTTATTATATAAAGGGCCATTAACACAGAGGAGATATCTTTTGATCAATTTTATTAAATGTAAAAATAAACAATTAATGTATCACACAATATTTTATATAGGTTATGGCAAGTTAAGCAGATATATGAAGATATAGCTGTCTTTTACTATTGAAGAAATTTACCATCAACATTTTGAAACTATAATATTTAATTTGATTTCATTTCTCAATGGCAAACTTTTTCATTATTGGGTATTTTCAGTTATTTACTATTTTTTATACTTGAATTGTATTCTGAACTGACTGACTAAAACTGACACGAACATATTCTTATATATAACATAAACCAAAAAAATACATAGTTTGCTTTTCTTATAAAGAATTAAACATTGCTTATATTTTCCGTTTCTAAATTATTATGGTGAGAATATTACAGTTTTAGTTGACAGGACATATTATTATTGTGCGTTAAGGTAGTTAAGGCTTCATCGTGTTAATTACTTTTGAACTTTAACACAGCTAGGTATATTTATTATTATCTTTTGTTGGTTAAAAATAACCAAGAAATTGTTACTCAGTTGTAAGCCAATACAGTTGTCAGTGCATTAAGAATAAATAAATAGATCGATTCATTACATTTTTACTGTATATTTTAATTTTCATTTGGAATTACTTTATGTTCGTATAATTTCGTACAATAAATAATAATATGATTAAATTTTTATTTTACCTTTAGATTTTTAGAAGTGAAAAGGTACATATATATATTTTCGTTCACACCATTCAATGCTGAAATGTTTAAAAATAGTTTCTTTGATGGGATCTGAGATTTTCGCGAGTCATTTAAATTATACTACACGAGTATATCCTCAAAATATATTAGTTTCATGATTTCTTTGATTTATAATTTTACAAATCTTTGACAATTAATTGTTTGATTGTTGGTTATATTTGTAAACAATTTAAATAGCCCGCGTGTTGCAGATGCTGCCTTAGTCTACAGAATAATAGTTATTAAAACAAGCAGGCCTGTCTCTTGATTAACATAAAGTTTATCTGAAGTGTGAGCAAACTGACTAAATATTAATATAAAAAACGAACGGCTTCACCACTTTCATTAAGAAATGATCGACGAGATATCAGAATGTCTATTTAGACTACCACTATAACTCTTTAAAGATATTATTAGTTTCATGAAATAAACTTGTACCTCCATACTTCTCTAAATCGTCCATTTATCAAATTAAACGATGACTTATAATGCCTTCAACAAACCCACAACTCTGCCAACCATGTAATGCCCAAGGGCACTAAAACTACATAATATCAAACGGATAGTTAGCTCGTCTGTCAACCATGATTGGCTTAGAAATGGTCTTGCTTGAAACTAGTTAATTGTAAAAATAAATCTGAAATCTCCTTTAAAACTACGGATTTTTTTTATTAAATATCCTGAATGTAACAACATATTTGAAACTCAAATATGTTCATTAAATCTCATTATTAAATAGATCTCGAGAATAAGAAGCTAAAACCACTCAAAGACTTTACAAAGACTTTACCTTAGGTACACACGGAATCTTCTAGATGAGATTACCGTCGCGGGTGTAAGTGACATGGCGTACCGCGGCCAGTCACAGAGCAGGAGTAGGGTTTTTATTCAGTTTATTTTTATTCATCTCATATGTTACACCCATGAACTGTCAATATATAATTATGGGAGGTTCAAACTCCAAGTCATAATGCTCCTAAAATAAATAGGTCATGAAAATTTTTTACAGTCACTAAGGAACAGCAACCTACGGTGGTGACAACCTGATAATATACCCGAACGCGTTCGGGTCGATACAACACGAATTGATGCTATTCGCGCTTAGATGGTACAACTTTCCACCCCTAGTTAGAGATATGATCGCGTCGTATTACTCAAAATTAAGGTTTTCTATAATAACTAAAGAAGGCCCTTCAAAAAGTTTGAGTTATAATGTAGGACTGTTTCAAGGTTGTTGTCTATCTCCAATTACGTTTAATATCGTTATTAACATCTTAGTAGACAAATTAATCTGTAACGAGAAAAAATGGGGTTATCGGTTTAAGTTTAATAATAAATACACGGAATCCATTTTAGCCTTCGCTGACGATCTCGCAATACTGACACGTAACCCCAAACACTGTCAAGTACTATTGGATGAAGTGGATAAATTCTGTGAGTGGACGGATGGATTGAGGACAAAACCCAGTAAATGTCACTGTCTGTGTCTTGGTAGGCGGAATACAAGATACACCTCATACGATCCGGGACTATCGTTAGGCGGTCAATGCATTTCTACGGTTACGGAAAATGCACCATTTAAATTTCTCGGTCGTAAGATTGATAATATAGGCCGTACTCCATCTTTAGAAGGAATAGTAGATAGCTTTTTGAACGATCTTAACAAGGTAGATAGCCAACTGATAAGTAACGTCAAAAAAGCGTGGATCTACGAGAATTACTTAACTTCACGTTTGAATTGGCCTTTCCTCGTCTATGATTTTAATAAAACCCTTTTGTCAAAGTTAGATGCAGGCGTCATAAAGATGTTGAAGTTGTGGCTCGGGCTCGCTCTAACAGCTGATTCATCGGCGTTATTTAGGGGAAGCAATAGTTTTGGGATGAGTCTAAAAAGGCCATCCGAGCTTTATAAACACCTAAGAGTTTCCAAGAGATATATCCTGGGGAAATCCCATGATGACATAGTGACATCGCTCCCAAAAGATGAAGATGCCCCCGAGCTAGAGTCACGACTTCAATTCCATAAGCAATTTATGATAGGAGCACAAAGTAACAGAGCGGGGTTAGGATCAAATAGGAAAGTCCAAGATGCGGATATATTGAAGTCTTTTATTCGGCAAGACGAGAATGATAAATATAAGATCCATGCAATGAATTTAGAAATGCAGAACGAGTGGTTAGACATAGGAGATTTTTGCATCCCATTAGCATTAAAATGGCGCACTTTAATTTATGATTGGTCGCCAGCATTGCTAAAATTCTATCTCAATGCGTTCCAGATGACTCTCCCAGATCAGAGTAATTTAGTAAGATGGGGTAAAAGTACCGAAAAAACTTGCTATATCTGTGGAAAGGCAGTTGGAACTGCTAAGCATCTGCTGGTGGGATGTAAGGTACTCCTGGACAGCGGTCAATACTCGCGTCGTCACGATAGGGTTCTAGAAGTCATACGTGAAGCGGTTAGTCTTTCGGTAGCCAGAGTGCAAAAGGAAATAACCACAAACGAACGATCAGTAGGTTTTGTGAGAGAAGGCACTAGGGCTACAAAATCAAACGTCAAGCCTTACTCCATCCTTAAAGCGGCGTCGGATTGGACTATAATGATGGACACGTATGAAAAACAATATAAAATCCCCGAGGATATTTGTGCGTCGGCCTCCAGACCGGATATATTTTTGTTTTCGCGAATTATAAAGCGCGTATTGATGATAGAGCTTACGGTCCCTTGGGAAACCAATATCCCCAAAGACCATACCATCAAGGTCAACAAATATTACGAGCTCACAAACGAACTCACTTGAAATAGGTTCGTAGTAGATTTGTACGCGGTAGAGGTGGGAGCGAGAGGTATAACAGCGAAATCTCTCTACAACCTACTAAAGGACTTGGGCTTGTCCAGAACTCACATTAATGCATTCTTGGAACGTATATCGAAGGCAGCCCTAGTAGGTTCTTTTCAAATTTGGTTAGGTAGGGAGAGGAGCTTGGACAGTGGAGGTGAGCGTATAACGCGCGTTAGTTAAGGGGCCCCTTAGGCCTCGGCCTCGAATTTTGCGGGCAGCGGGGCGGGAGCGGGAGCGGCAGGATCATACGCGTATAATCAAATGGACCGACCCTCGAATACAGCGGTGCCCGCTGCCCGCTATTTTGGAGAAATGTATGCGTTTTCGTGCCGCTGCCGCTGCCGCCCCGCTACCCGCGAGATTCGAGGCCGAGGCCTTAAACCTACACTTGGGTCGCAAGTCCCAGGCACTGTTGAAGCTCCTCTCCCTGCAACGCGATGGACCCGGCACCCGCACGGTGAATCCATGGAATGCTTAGTAGTTTCGTCTCGTCTTTATAAAGTCCATGAATAAGTAACACTTCTGTAACAGACGACCATAGCTTAAATGAGTAAAGAAAATGCTAACACCAACTATGTACTAACATATTTTTGGTAACAAGAACTTTATTTGCAAAGTAAGCCGTAGTTATTGCATTGAGAAAATCTTGTTTCTTTATTGTACAGCGACACAAGTGGAACGATATTTGACTGGGAGAGTTATTACAAAATAATATGGAAGTCTGAAACAAAATTGTTCCATGTTTTAAGTTTGTATTGTTTTATATTAATAGTTTAGACATGTTTGATCAAAATATATATGTATAAAGAGCTATGTAAAAATTTACAAAAGCACGTATAAGGTATGAAATAATTACAAGAAGTACATACCTATAAAAAAATCCATACTTTTATTTAGATTTAGGATAACAAAAAAGTTGTTTTTTTTTCATAAATTTTTGAACTCAGTTTAAGATATCAGAACTAACAAGGTTTTATAGGGAAAAACATATCTTGAAATGACAACTTCTGTAAAAGCAAAATAATGAACTAATGTAGGAAGATGACCGCCAACCATACCACATACTAGGTTCAATATATTAAAAGTATTATGTAGTAAACTCGTAGTTTTAAAGAATAATTTAATAATTGACTTAGAAAATAACTAAGAATTAAATTGTATTTATTAAATATAGAAGTTGAGTTTAGTTTAGTGTTGCATAGTTTTAATTATATTCATAAGGAGAACATTACAAATAAATCCTATTTATTTTGCTCATATTGTGTGCTCGGAATTCCAATAAAAGAAAAACTAAAAATCATCATACACACAGTGAATCAAATAAATCTAAAAAGTACGAGACAAATAGAAAGAGGAAAATTATTTATATGAGAAAAGTATTACTCAGAAAGGAATAAACATATTCTAAACTCATTCAATCTATACTTGTTATTCAGAATAACTTTAAAACGATCCTAAAGCTTAACGGTGTCTTGAATATAAAAATACGTAGATTCAGCAAAAAATACATACTTTAAACAGAAATCACTGGAGACTATTAAGTTAAAGACAGAAATAAATCAAGTTAATCGCCTTCAACTTAATGGATCTACAAACTTTATACTGAGAATATTCTTGAAAGATGCAAATAGGAAATCTATATCTTGTATGTATATATTGTATGTATATACATATATGTATTTATAACGTAATATAAATATTCGAAAGTTGGAGTAAAATATCAATATGGCCACTGCTGAGCAAAGGATTTCACATGGAGAAGGTTTTAGCATCAATTACCATACTTGCTCAAGACAGATTGGGGACTTCAATTTATAATTTCGAATTATAGTTCTAGGTTTCCTCATGATGTTTTCCTTCACTGTCCGTCAGTGATGTCTAATTACTCTTAGAAAGTACATATGACTCGGAAAAATCACTTTGGTACTTGCCAGGCTTCGAAACCCGCACCCTCATGCACGAGAGGAGAACATTTAACGTCTAAGCCACCACGACTTAGAAAAGTAAAATATATTTAAATACATCTATAGTTTCTGATATAATTAAGAAAAAATCAATTTACAGAAAAATTACAATTATCGTATGTGAAGATATAATATTGAAATTTTTATATAATAATATTTATTGTCACTGGTTAATGTTGATTCCCAAAAGAGGGTTGATGTCAGGCAGGCGGCCGGTCGTAAAAACAAATAGCCAAAAAAAACTATTCATAACATGCAAGGCAGACCCTGGCTATAGCTGGGAAAAATTGCCAGGTAGAAGAAGAAGAAGAATATTTATTGTCACTAAGTAATATTTATTTATATTATCGTACATTTCCGTGCTCATTCCTCAATGACTTGGCTGTAGAAATCAATATAGAAGAACTGTTGCGGTTTGTAATCAATATCACTTCAATGATATTTCAATTAATATTAATTTTATCTCTTAAGACGACTTCATTATTGAGTTTGTAGGAATTTATTTAGTTTTAGAATGGTGTTTCAACGACGAAAACTTTTCATCATTCCATGTATTCACCGTGCGGGTGTTAGGTCGATGGACCTAACCTAATGGTCAAAGATCGATGCAGGGAGAGAAGCTTCAACAGTGTCTAGGACTTGCGATCCAGGTGTAGGTTTAACAGTTATTTGAAAAACATGTAAACAGTAAACTAGTAGAATCGTTTTTGATTCGATCTTTCTAATTCGTATAGGAATTTAATAATCTTTTATTTATAGAGGTAGGTGAGTATTATTAGATAGTTATAAATACAAACTAAAATAACTCAATAATAATCAATGATAGAACAAAGCAGTATCGGAACAATAGTGTGTGAACATTATAAATGAAACTAATATTTTCGGATTCTTACGTCGCGTTTTTATTTTTGATTATGAACTACATACTCCCGACGTTTCGGCTACATTTCAGCAACCGTGATCACGGGCAGACGAGATGTGAGTGTCATAATCAAAAATAAAAACGCTTAGTAAAAATCCGAAAATATTAGTTTCATTTAAATGAGTACTCGTGAAAATATTAGATCTCATTGTATGAACATTACCCCTGGGCCTCGGATCATTCTGTCAGATTTCACTCTTCAATTATAAACTTTATAACAATAAACATTATTTAGTACAAATCCGTCGCCGTAAGATCCTTTGTTCTCACATTTTACGTCTTATTCAATCTGATAATGCTGTGTCGCTGAGTGATGAGCTCTGGTGTCACGGGATTTGTGTTCTTTACAGAAAGTAAACTACCAAGATGATAATGAAGTCTTAAGAGTTATTGTGATTCAGGAAATTAATTCGAACGTTAAATATAAAGAACGTTTTAAAATTGTCGCTTTGACTTTTATTTTGTAAATTATGCACGGGTTTTTATTTTAATTCTGATTTCTTTGTATTTCTTAAAGACTCTTTTGTAAATATTTTTCTCGTTACATAAAACCTTTATAGGTTTTTAGAGTTTAAAGATTAACAAGTTTCAGAAACTGAATCTTTCACTTGAATGAATTTTAGAAGACTTGAATACTTTAGTTTCATAACTAAATTGATTAAAACCTTTGTTGTATCGACAGCAGTTAAGTTATTTTAAAGTTATAAGATTAGTGGTTTTTATATAAAAGGAAACATATTTTGGAAAAACCTTAGTAGGAAGCAACCACCTGCTTTCTGCAAAGGTTGAAGTTGAGCTATGAAAACAGAGAAAACGTTAAAAAACACTAACAAAACCAATTACAAGCAGGTAACATTAATGGAGTAAGTCCGGTCTTTGCCAGGACCGGCCAGTCGCTGGTGTGCCCTGTCGCTGACAGATCCGGGGTACACCGACATAGCGGCCGATGGCTTTCGCAGTGGTTTTAGTGAGTAGGGGCCCGCCCAGGCCAAGCCTCACACATCCCTTCCAGCCCCACCAAGGCCGGTTGGACGGCTCGTAAAAAGAGTTTCCACTACGTCATCAAAAAAAAAAGCAGGTAACATTACAATTAATAATTATAAAAACACAATTCCAGTTCTTTATTATTAAAGAATCTTTAAGTAGCATGAAAAAAATTAATATAAGTATTTGAAGTTACCCAATTAATTATACTCGTCAATTCAAAATTCTACATGGACTAAAATCTGAAGTTTTTCATAAGATGTAAACAGTAATGGGTCCTGTCCCATCATCTTGGTTGGAAACACATAAGAAACAAATTAGAACTAAACATAGTATCTACACTATGCCTCTTTAAAAAAGGATTTTTACAACGAAAAGTGTAGAGTGGAAGGTCTTAGAAAGATTTAGAAGGTTACGTTCACGGGGACCAAGCGATTACAAAGTTCCAATAAAAATAAACTATCGTAGTTAAGATGATAAAAAAATACATTACATAGAGAATTAATACTTAGTCATACCAATATTCCTCTATGTTGACACTAATTTAAGTCTTTTATAGCTTTATATATGTGTTAATACGTTTTATCTAACATTTCCTATTACAAATGAAATCCTGTTATAAAATAGTCATGACATTTAACACCTTTATTCAATGTTCTTACTTCCTCAAAGTGCATTTTTCTTCTGAATACAAAAATTTTCTTCAATTGTTGTCTAAAATAATTTAAAACAAATTGTCAAATATATATTAAAATTATTCTTATTTTCCGTGACCCATCTTAACCGTTTCTTATTCGGATTATTACTTACATATGTAAAACAAATAAAATTTTAAGTTCAAGGATATATTTCCTTCAGAAAGTGTACGATTTAAAAAATCTGTAAAATATTAATCAAGATCTAAATGAAAAGCTGAATATAAATTCTATAAATATTACAACTTTATCATCTACAATATAAATTCTCTAGAGTGAATTATCTTCGTCTACAGTTCAAAGCCTATTTATAATGTCTCGGAAAACTTCCACGAAATTACTTTAAGTTCAAGCTCCAAAATTAACCGTAGTGAATAAAATTTAAAGTTGCCTGCTATTTTAAAACTTAACCTGAATACTCATCAAGATGTTTATTCTTCAGAATACTATAAGACAAAAAATAAATCGATTTCAGGCAATTTGAAATGGACAGACTGAACCAAACCATTTCTTTAACATCCAACTTTATATCAGTTATAATAAATACTAGGACAGTTATAGCATTATATAGAAATAGAACAGTGAAACGCAATAACTGTAAGAATAAAAAATACAAGAATACAAGATAATAGTCTTTTTTAAAACCTTATATATATATATATATATATATATATATATATATATATATATATATATATATATAAGGTGTGTGTCCTAGTCCCATCTCACATTTCTGTCATTACCAGAATGAACGAAGATCACAAAGTGTTTCATGCTTGACCTATTATCCATACGTACATAGACATAGATACATACATTTGGCTTTTAAGAAAACATGTAAAAAAATCAAAAATATATTACCATTCAACTGATGTGAATCAAGTCTCTGTTATCAATGAATACGGAAATTAAT